GTTCCATTTATCCCTTAGAGTAAGAATGAAACTTTTTATTACATATAACTATTATATCTCAATAAAAGTTAAGCTAATTATAAAGTTCAAGGAATCTTTTTCTATGAAAATATTTTTGACAAAGAAGAAAATAAGATTTACAATATTTGGAAAGATGCATCTTAACAAAATGGTGAGCAGTCAGGCTAGTGTATGAGAAGCCAATGAAAAAAGACCAAGAAAATACACAAATGAGAAATGTGGTAGGAAGAAACTTACATTTGTTATTTTTATGTTGCTGAAATAAAACGTCATGAACAAAGACAACATAAGTAATTGAGAGAGCGAGAGAGCTGAATTTTGGATTATTATTCTAGAGAAATAAAAATTAATGATGAGAAAGGAAGCAAAGGCAGCAACTGGTAGTCAGGGCTACCCAGCAGGAATCTGAGAGTCCATCTCTTTACCTACAAGTTTGAAGCAGAGAAGAAACTGGAAGTGACTTAAGAATATAAACTTTTACATGGGTTCCAGTGAGGAAACCTCAGAAATCTACAGGACCTGCGTAGGGATAAGTTCAGTACTTATCCCTAGCATAGGTGTGGACTTTGGGAGCCCATTCCACATAGAAGAATACTCCCTGAGCCAAGACACATGGGGGTGGGCCTAGGCCCTAACCCAAAGGATACGATAGACTCTGATGACACCCTATAGAAGGCCTCACCCTCCCTGGGGAGCAGTAAGGATATGTGATAGGTAGGGTTTTAGCTGGGGGAGGGGGTGGTGAGGGAGGAGGGGAGGGAGAAGGGAATTGGGATTGTCATGTAAAACAATCTTGTTTCTAATTCAAATTTTAAAAAATCTGGGGAAAAATAAATGTAAACTTTTGATGTGAATATAAAAGGACATTCCTCCATTGATGGTGGTAGTGGGAATTTGTACAGCCACTTTGGAAAGCAACACGGTGTTTTCTCAGAAAACTGCATATGGTGATATCTTTCTTGTACAAATAAAGCCTGTCTGAAGGTCAAAGAATGGAGCTGCCACTAGCTAACCATAGAGGTCTGGAGGTCTAGAAAGACAGACAGGAAGTGAGCTAACCAGGAGAAACAAAATATAAGCAGGGAGAAATAGGAACTCACTCTCTTCTCTGCTGAGATGCTAAGGAGGTAAGGTGTAGCAGTAGTTTGCTCCTTCTCTCTTTTCTTTGAGCATTTTCCTCTATATTTGACTCCTGGTTTTATTACTTAGACCAATTAAGAACTCCACTTGCAACTGAGAACTAATCTACTGCAAGACCCAGCAATACAACTCTTGGGCATATACTCAAAGGATGTTCAATCTTTCCAAAAGGACAATTGTTGAACTATGTTCATAGCAGTGTTGTTCATAATAGCCAGAATATGGAAACATCTTATGGGACCCTCAACCAAAGAATGGATAAATGAAAGGAGATACATTTGCACAATGGAGTATTACTCAGCTGTTAAAAATAATGACATCAGGAAATTCGAAGGAAAATGGGTGGAAACTAGAAAAAAATCATCCTGAGTCAGGTAAATCAGATGCAGAAAGACAAACATGATATGTACTCATGCATAAGTGGACAATAAATATATGGAAAATATAACCATGCTACAATACACATCCACAGAGAGGTTAAGTAAGGAGTGCCCAAAGAAGGACAGGATCCATGGTTATGTCTGGGAAAGGAAAATGAAACAGATCTCATCTCCTGGATTGCCTAGGGGCTGGTGTGGATGTGGATATGGCAGATTATGTTGAGGGCATGGATGGAGGGGGTGGAATGAAAGAGATATCTTGATGGGGGGGCATTTTGACTCAGGTAGAAACCTGGTGCAAGGGAAAGTCCCATGAATGTACAAGGATCACTCAAGCTAAGACTGTAACCAATGGTGCATAGGTAGCCTTAACAGTCCATCTCCTGCAATCACATTGGCAATACCTACATTGTCAACAGAGAGCCTTCATCCAGTGACTGACAGAAAAAGATACAGAGAACAAGCACTAGGCCTAGCTCAAGGACAGCCATTAAAGAGAGAGATAAAGGATTATATGATCCTCATGGGTCAAGGTCATCTCACAAAAATCCACAACTATAAATTACATGAGCACATAGGAGCTCAAAGCCTTTGGACTGACAACAGCTAAGGAGTCTGCACAGAACTGACTTAGGGTCTCTACAGATGTGTGACTCTTGTGTAGCTTGATCTACCTGTGGGACTCCTGGTGGTGGAAACAAGGCCTGCCCATATTGCTTTGATTGACTTTTGGGAGCCTATTACTCTCATAATAGGTTGCATTGACAAGCCTTAATATGAGCAGAGGAGATTATTCCTACTTGAACTTGGTATGTCATACTTTGTCGATGCCCATTCTGAACAGAAACAGATGAGTTAATTGGGAGTGGGATGGAAATGAAGGTGGGAAGGAAGGAATGGTATGGGAGGAGAGAGAAAACTGTGGTCAGGATATAAAATAAATGTATGAATTTAATTAAAAATAATTAAAAACCTCTCAAAGCCCACACTCAATTATATACTTTATCCTACAGGGTTGTGCTTCATAAATCTTCTGAAACAGTGTCATCAAGCAGGAAACAAGTGTTCAAATTTTAGTGTCTATTTGGAGAATTTCTCATTTAACACCACAAATGATTACTGGGAAGACCAGGTGCACCATTGTTGCCAGGATGGTGTGTCATGGGGTAAGTTGTGGACTGTGCCCTGTTATGCAGTGGTGTGTGAGAACAGGATGACTTCAATATTACATTCAAAATGGTCATGAGCCTTGGAGCCACAGACTGGTGAAATATAGAGAGATAATAGGGAACCAAGTGAAGACTACAGAATGTATTAAAGTCTAGGAATATAGCCAAGTTAGATAACATTGTTGATATTATGAGCTTGAGCCCCAACATTAGGCTAAAAGCACATGATAGTAGGTATTTATAGTCCAAGAACTCAAGAGAGACATTCAGAATAACAAGAGGTCATCCCTGACTTTATAGAGTATTCAAGACCAGCTTAAGCTGTATCTCACCTTATCTTAAAAATATCTCTGAGCCTCCCAAACACCTATATTAAACAGAACACTCACCATTTCCTTTGAGAAACCAATCAAAATAAGTTGCCAGTGAATCTGGATTCTTGAAAAGGTTTGTCTTATACCAGAAAAAATAACCAGACACAAGGACATCTCTGGGATTTCTGATGACATATATTATCTTAAATGAAAAACATGTACATAAAAGTCAGTATGGACATTCCCCACATTCTAACTAGCACAAGTTACATGAAATGTCAATCAAATGTCCAAGGGGTTTCTAAAAACACTTATTATTTTATATGGACAAAATATATATGTAAGTACAAAACATTTATAGTCAGAATCATTTTAAACAATTTTGATTCACAAAAATAAAACAGCAAAAAATATTGAGATCACTAATACTGTAAAAACAAAACAACTGTAACAAAACTCCACATCTGATTCTATAGGTGTGAAGATTAATATCTTGCAGAATGAAAGACCTTGCATCTGCTGTGAAAGGACACCTTGTTTACACAGGACGATGAGTGCTGCAATATGGCAAGCCAATCAAACATAACTCTCAAAAGAGTAACAGTACAGAGCATAAAGCCAGTGCATCCTTGCCAAATGGTGAACACCAAGACATTCAGGGAATGAAGAAATGTATTCAGAGGAATTGGCATCCCCTGTGAAAAGCATAGCAATGGGTTATACAGTGTTAAATCCTCAGACCTCAAAACCTATATGCAAGTAACCTTGTACAGACCAAGCAAATTGTATTTACATATTGAGAAATATGTAGATCATGTAAAGGTAACAGCAATTAATGAAAGAAGAGACCATACATTTAAAAGAGACAAAGGAGGGGCATGTGGGTAAACTTGGAGGGAGGAAGAGGAACGATAAATGATGTGTGTAATTATAATCTCAAAAATTAAATAAATGAATTGAAAATAAATAATAATTTTATACAATAAGATCTATAATTTGTACCAATGCTTTTTGTGACATTATTCTAGAATTCATGTCCTTGGGCCTCAATTTCTCCAGCTAAGAGTTTGCCAAATCCAGATAAGACAGACGTACAGGACACAACTTGATTGTGATAATTTCAAGAGAGATAATTTCTCTAAGTTTGCCTTTGTAGTTTAAGCATAAAATATTTTTAGGTTCTGGGGTGGATGCATTTGCAGAGAACTTTCTTACTAACAAGATGCCAAGATAGATCAGAATCTGGCTAGCTCTAATCCCACTGGGGATCATCTATCAGTGACATAGGTGATTCTTGTAGCTACTGTTCTCAGTGGACAGGTAGACACAGCAAGTTTCAGAGAATCCAGATGACCCATGTCCTTTGAGCTAAACCATCGGTGCTGTTCTGCCTGCTTCCCCTATGAGCAACTCTGCCTTGAGTGATTCACCCAATAGCCATGGGATTTATGTAAAACCAAAATTAGCTAATTGACTTTGATGACAGCAAAAGAGTAGTATTAACTGTACATGAGAGTTTGAACTCTGCTTGGCTTGTACATATAGTTTCCTGAATGCTCTTGTTGATATTTAACTTCATCTCATATATCAGGCCAGGATCACTATGTGGTGGTTGACATCCTGGTCCTCTGATGTAATCTGAGGAGGGGACACATAGGCAATGAGAATCCTGGATTCCCTCCCACAACCCCCACAAACAGATCAGACTGCACTTCAGGCAGAGCTCTGGGGCTCCATTGTAGAATAAGTTCAATGAGCATTTGGTCAAGATTTCTCAACCAATAAACACTGACCTTGGCCTTGGAACTGAAGAACGATCTGGGAAAAAGATGGAAGGGAAGGTGGGAGGAAATCTGATACGGCCTCTCCTTATTGGTTAAATTTTGAAATCCTCCATTACTTTCTATCCAGGGTGAGCGTTTCCAGGTAGGAACAGATTGGACCCATTCTGGATTCCCCTTGGTCTGAATCAAGCAGACAATCTGAATCAGCCAGTTAGTCCCTGTACAAGAAGGAAAAGATATGGTAACTCACTTGAAAAGTACTTGTGAAAAACTTCAAGTAGAATATATGCCCATACAATTTATAGAGCAGATGCTTTCAAGGACACAAACATGTGGTGTTCACAGTGTCCACTGGTGTAAGTACAAAGTATATTTATCCTCTACATTCCCAATGCTTTAATGGGAAAAGCAGAGGATCTATACTCAACGCACTCCACCAGCCTATTGATTTTCCCTCCATCCTGGGCCATGATCATTCTACATTCTGGTGCAGGGAATTCAACTATCTCAGATATTTCCCAGCAGTGCAATCATAGAATCTGTCCTTGAGACTGGCTCCATTTATTAAATAAAATGCTGTTGAGATACACTCATGCTGCGGTGAATGTGTGAGTACTGTTTCTCTTTCAGGTAAATAAATCCTGTTGAGTCTAGTTACCACACACACTTGTATTTCTCTTTACATACTCATTTGTCAATGGATAATTCTCTAGCTTCTTTCTCTGGGCTTATGTCCAAATGTTTTTCATGCATTCCAATGTCCTTGGCTTTTCCATGTTATTAAACTTTTGATGTCAGCAATGTGGCAATATATTGATTATAACTAATAAAGCTTGACTGGGGATCAAAAGGTAAATCAAACCACACTAGTTAGCCATAGATGCCAGGAAGTGGTGGTACACACCTTTAATCCCAGGACCCTGAAGTCAGAGGTAAATGCATCTCTGTGAGTCCAAGACCACCCTGTGCCACACTAGAGTGAATCAGTCTAAAAAAAATAACAGAGCTCACAACTTTAGGCCCAGCGCTACCAAGGTATATAAGGAAAAGGCAAAGGGTCTCATAAAGATTCAGTTTCCAGTCAAAGGGAAGACAGGATCTTCATTTCAGCCTTGGTAGAGGTAAGAGCTGCTAGCTGGCTGCTTTGCCTTTCTGATCTTCAGCTTGAACCCCAATATCTGTCTCTGGGTTTTTGTTATTCATACTACACAGCAACCTAATACTTATCTAATGTTCAGTGCCTCTGCCACCCATCCAACAGCTCTTTCCCAACACCCATGATGCCTTTTTTGCTTTCTTGTGTTGTCAGAGTGTCCACTACCTGGACAAGGTTCATGGTAGTTCTTCTACCTGACAGTGTCCTCTCCTCCCCATATTTTTTCATCCATCCCATTTCTCTTGATGCTATTTCTTCTGTTTACTCTTATCATCCTCCCTCTTCCACTCTCTCTTCCACTCTCTCTTCCATGCAGAGACACAACAATGTCACAGTCTGTGTTTGGATCACTGCCATTGCTATTTTGCCTTAACTTATCCTCCCCGCACACAGACCAGTCAAAACGTCTTTGTTTGAGTGGAAATGCACTTACATAGAACTCTCCATGCTCACAGAGCATTTTAAACATCAGATACAGAGGGCATCCCATTTATCACCCAAATGAATGAGAATCAAAGCCTTAACCTGCCTCCTACAATTTAGGATCACCTTTCCTGATGGTCCTTACCTGATTTAGGATAAGCCAGTATGATTATGTCTTCATCTCCTATCACAAACTTATCACGAACTTCTTCAATTATTTCTTTTTGAAACCCTCTACTAGGGAAAGGTATTCCTTCAAACCAATAGTAGCCTGACATGGAAAGGAGCTCTTTGTAGGTACTGTTAAAAGATTCCAGCTGTAGCCAACTGCTCCACTTGTAGCAAATCAAAGTGGTAAAATTTATAGTGCAGCCAAAAGAAATTTTTAACACTCCATAGTTCATTGTTAAACTAGCTACTGGTAGGGAGAAATGGACTTTGAAACAACCAGTCAAAGGTTGTTGTATTTGGCAACTGTGAACTCTTTCAGAGATCATTCCACAGCATTTGTGAGATTGAGTTCATAACCTCAAACTAGCAACTCAGTTCCAAGCACTTGGACATAGAAATTTGGCATAATTTAAAATGTTTTCTAATGTAATTTAGCTTTCAGAATGGTAGGAAATGTGCATAAAATAGCAGAGATCATACAACATTTTAACACGTGCAATTCTTTTATAAGAGTAGTGGTCATAGAGCCTTAGGTACACTGTGTGACTCCCATTCTTCCTCTAACCTAACAATGCCTGCCTCCCTTTCACACATTTATGATCTCTGCTTTAATTTTCATTGATACTTGTACATGATCCCATGTACATATAACCTACAGAGTCCATTCAGTTCTGTGTGTATGTGAATGTATTCTGAGCTGAGCACTTGTGGTTGGACAAGCAATATGCGATCCCCCCCAAGGCAGATGATCCCTTGTCTTTTGGCAGCCAGTGCCTTGCCACATTCCTTCTTCTAGGGGTGTAGAATTTGCTCATCCTTCTAAGTTCCATTTTGCTGGTTCGTTAGTGTAAAATACTATTGCAAGCTAATAGGTGTATTTCCCTGTCATGTTTAGGGGATATACATTGACAGCAAGGATTCTATGCCTTGGGGGTCTTTCTTCAACTCCTCTTTGATTTTTCCTAAGCTTTCTGTTGAACGAATCCATTGTGAATGTATCAGTTGGGGTTGGGCACCATTCAGGCAATTATTCTCTGCATTGTGACCAGTTGTGAGATTCTGTGATAGTCTCCATATATTGCAAAAAAAAAGGAGTTTCTTTGATGAGGGCCAAGAACTATATTTACCCGTGTGTGTAAAGATAAGCATTTAGAAAACAGCTAGAAAGTGTACTAGTTTAAGAAACCATCATTAGAATGTTTACAGTGCCAGGCATGGCTTCCCTTTTGGTGAGTAGGTCTTAGTCCAATTAGACAGCACTTGCAAGCCCCAAAGTGGAAGGCCCACTACTGCACCCTTGTGAATATCTTTCCAGTCCAGTTTTTGTTGTGGTTCATTGATAGCACCTCTACATAGGTCAAGTGATTGTTCCTTTTCCTTTTCAACTTTTCACTTTATTAAATCCACTTCTCATGGAATAGGTACTAGGTAAATTTCTGTTCAATTCCTCCAAATTCTGAGTCTGAATTGTATTGTGGCTTCTGCAACAGAGTCGAGTCTTCAAGCTCTGTGACAATCACGGGCAGAAATAGCTGATATTGTTTTGGAGGTCTCTTGAACTATCCTGACCAACAACTTGTCAGGAGGTTTCTCATGCATGGTACCGGCATTTTCCTATAAAGTTCATGGCAAACAGTGGGAATATTATCAATATAAATGTCATAATACCTTTGAAATACATGTTAATATATACACATATACGTATACTACATGGGATTTACATATATATGATAAAATATGATTCTCTACATATATATATATATGCCTAGTACTTCCAATAATTATTGCTAAACATTTTTTAAAAGCCATATGGAAATCTAATACCCAAAATTTTACTTCTACACATCTAAAGAGATGCTATGACCTGAATAGGTTGCTAAAGCTGTAATCCTAACATTGCCCACAAAGAGCACTTCGCGATGTTATAATATCATTGGTATGAAAGAATACCTTTCCTTGCTCGAGGGTTTAAAAAAATGAAGACACTCATAATAAGTTTGTGATCAGAGATAAAGACATAGTCATCTGCTTCAGAAGGGGAAATCCCATACTGGATGTCCAGTTACAGAGGAAAGTTCATTGCACTAAGTGCCCACATGAAGAAACTGGAGAAGAGTCACACTAGAGAATTAACAGCACAACTGAAAGCTCTACAGTAAAAAGAAGCAAACTCACCCCAGAGAAGTAGATGCCAGGGAATAATCAAACTGAGGGAGGGCTGACATCAATAAAGTAGAAACAAGGAAAACATTACAAAGACGCAATTAAACAAAGAGTTGGTTTTTCGAGAAAATCAACAAGATAGACAAATCTCTATCCAAACTAAGCCAAAGGTTAAGTTATCCGGGTATCCCCAAGTTGATTGAGAAATTTATCAAAGACAAATGTCCCAAATTACAGAGGATGTCTCCCTTTCCGTGTGATAGGGACACAGTAGAGTGAAAGGAACTTTCTGGTATACCAGTGTGGCTTTTGTAGTAGTACAACAACAGAGACAAAGAAGGCAGCTTCAGTCTGATACTGACCAAGTAGAGGAGAGTAGCGGAAAGTTTAAAACATCTGCAGGGGTGAACTGGAGGAGGCTTCTGGGGAAGTGAGAGTTCAAATAGAGGGAGAGAGCTGTGTCTTAGTAGAGAGATTCCCAGGTGGTTACCCATGGAAGTTATCAGGCTTCAGGAGACAGAGATACCAAGAGTTGTGTGACAGTGACAGGTACCCAGGAGGGAATGAGAGGCTCCAGTAGACAGAGAGGCCAAGACGATACTTACCCAGTAGGCCAGGAAGAGAAAAATTGTTAGTGCAGGTGGAAGGAAGAATCAGTTAAGGAGGCAGACTCTAGGATTTGGAATTGAAGACAGTGGGTGGCAAAAGCCAGTGGAAACAAACGATTGATACCATACATATCTTAAAAGAGTCAAATCAACAGCTTGGTTCAATCAAGGGGAAATGAGTCCCTTGTAAGTGGCCTCCTATATGTTTCTACTGGACTTCAGTCACAAGACACATAAAATGGGAACTAGGTACGGTAGAGGGAAAGGTTTTCATTGTAGGTGTGAGGGAGAATACAGCCAGGGTCATGCAGAAGAGTCTATAGGATGCAGAGAAAATAATAGACTGAAAATGGAGAGAAGAATAGTTTGGGTCATAAGATACTCCACTTGAAAGAAAGGAATACACATGTAGATGTTCAACATAGGCACACTGTTAGTAATTTTTCTAAGTGCAAAGCTCCACAAACCTGGCCCTTATAGCCCTAGATGAGTTCAAAGTTCAAACAGACTTGACTCAACTTTACAAGGACTATATTTGGGTATAGCAGCACATGTCTCTGAACTCAGGGTGCATCCATACACAAAGTAAATCAATAAAATGCATAAACTTTTTATTTGAAGTAAAAACAATCTTATTTTGCATATCAACCCCAGTTCTCTCTCCCTACTACTGTCTTTCTATGCCCCCCACGAACCCCCCAACCCACCTCCCATCCACTCCCCAGGGAATGTGAGGCATCCCATTGGGGATCATCAAAGTCTGTCACATCATTTGGGGCAGGATCTAGGCACTTCCCATGTTATCTAGGCTGAGAGATTAGCCCTCCATAGGGAACAGGCTCCAAAAGTCCATGCTCTAGGGATAAATACTGGTTCCATTGCCAGAAGCCCCATTGACTGCCCTGGCCTCCCAACTGACACCCACATTCAGGGAGCCTGGTTTTGTCCTATGCTGTTTCCCCAGATGTGAGACTGGGGTCTGTGAACTTCCACTTGGTCAGGTCAGCTGTTTGTGTGGGTTCCCCCAGCATGGTCTTGACCCCTTTACTCATCTCTCCTCCCTCTCTGTAACTGGATTCCAGAATCTGTCTCAGTGTTTATCTGTGGGTGGTCTCTGTTTCTGCTTCCATCAGCTACTGGATGAAGGCTCTAGGACGGCATATTAGGTAGTCATCAATCTCATTATCAAGGAAGGGCATTTAAGGTTGCCTCTCCAATGTTGCTTAGATTCTTAGTTGGGGTCATCCTTGTGGATCTCTGAACACTTCCCTGGGGCCAGATTTCTCTTTAAACCTATAATGGCTCCCTTTATCCAGGTATCTCTTTTTTTGCTCTCTTTCTCTATTCTTCCCCTGACTCAGTCTTCCTGATCCCTCGTGTTCTCCCCTCCTCATACTTTCCTCCCCTCCCCCTTCTCCCAATTTGCTCAGGAGATCTTGCCCTTCTCCTTTTCTCCGGGTGTTGATGTGTGTCTCTCTTAGGGTCCTCCTTGCTTTCTAGCTTCTCTCGAGTCGTGGGTTGTAGGCTGGTTGTCTTTTGCTCTATGTCTAATACCCACTAGAATGCATTGTTTTTAATATTCAATTTTGCCAGTTGTGGTGGTGCATGCTTTCAATCCTAGCATTAAGAATGTAGAATTAGGTCTTTGCTAGCCATCTGCTACGGCGGGGGGGGGAAAGACCCAAGCTAACATGGGGTTAGCTCGTTAAACAACAATAAAGCCTCATGCAGTTTGCAGCAAGTTTTCAAATCTGCCTGGTGATTGGGGTGACCACAGTCCTGGGCTGGGACCCTGGAGGCCTGAGTTTTCTGGGGGGTCTAATATTTGGGGGCTCATCCTGGATTTGCAACCACCCCTCACCTGAGTGGATTCGATCTTGGAGGTAAGATGATTTGAGCTCGCAACTTATATGTTCAATGTTCTGTATGTCTCTTGCTGTTTTGTTGGTTTGGTGGCATGACTTGAATTTGATCTGTGCCAGCGCAGGACTTATATTTGTTATTTGGATTTGTGATTTGAACCTCGGGGGGGAAACAGATGTGTACAGTGACCCTGAAGCCACACCCTGGACGAAAGTCCGAGTGTCATTTGATTTGGACCATAGGGAAAGCAGGCGTGCCCAGAAACAGACATGTTTCTGGAACCCTTGGTTCCACCCTGGACAAAAGTCCAAGGGTTGTTTGTAATTCTGGTTTGGTGCCATGTCTGTGTCTGTAATTTGGTCTGCCAAGTGGTTTGTCCTGTCTCTTGTGTCTGTCCTTTTTTTTGTTGTTTGTGTCTGTCTCCATCCTAACCACCCCCTTCCCCGGATTTTCATCGTTGGTTTTCAACTCAG